GTTTTTCTTTTTTTCATTCTTTTATTTTTTTTTTTTTTTTTTTTTTTTAATATATAATTCTTCTCAATCATTATTAATCATTCTCGTAAGTCACGTATTCATATATGAAATTAAAGTTTTCCCTTTCAATGTAAACAATCATTTATTAAATCATCTTTTAATAGATCATGATAGATCATTACTTGTTTCTTTTTTTTTTTTTAAATGATTTCTCACAAATATTATTAATCATTCTCATAAGTCACATATTCATATATAAAACGTTAAAGTTTTTCCTTTTAATGTAAACAAACATTTATTAAATCATCTTTTTATAGATCATGATAGATCATTACTTGTTTCTTTTTTTTTTTCTTTTTTTCTTCGTAATGATTTTTCACAAACATTATTAATCATTCTCATAAGTCACAGTATTCATGTATAAAATGTTGCATTTATATTTATCAATTTAAATGGAAATTTACTAAATCACTTTTTATGGATCATGATAGATCATTTTTTTTTTAATATATATATATATAAATATATAATTTTTTTCGAACATTATCAACCCTATCATAAGTTAATTATACCTATATATATATACATATATATATATATATATATATGTAATAACAATAATAATTTTATATTAATTAAAACGTAGATTTAATTTGTTCAAAATTAATTGTGACGAAATCAAATGTTTAACGATTTTTATTAGGAAAAGAAAAGAAAAAAGAAATATTTTTCTTTCATCGTAAAAATCACGAATTATTAATGATGCGCGCGGGCGCGCGCACACACGCATACACACATACACACACACATACACACAATAAATACATATAATTATCATTTTACGAGTCAAAAAAAGAAAAAGAAAAAAGAATAGGAAAGGAGAATGATAGAAAAGAAAAAAATTTTTTTCGATCGTGAAATTTGTCGTGAAACGAGATTAAAAGGGATTGCATTAAATTGTATTACGTAACAAAAAAAAAATGTTACTAGGTAACTAGTATAGAGATGAAAAATGGTGTCGGGATCCTATGTATCAATGAAAACCACTGAAAACTGTCAAGCGGCACAATTCGCCGACGGCCGTATCATAAGCGTCAAGAATGAAAACCGTGTGTAACCATGTAAAAATCAGAAATTGCTGAGAACATTTATAGATTCAAACTGTGACCGACGTTATCACAAAACCTTATCCTAGGGGATAAACGGTGATGTTTCAAAAAGCTCCAGTTCTAGTAATTATTCGCATTTGTTCGATTAAAGACCCTATGACGTAACAATGACGACGACGGAAAAATATCATCAATCTTCATAATTAATATTAATATCATAATCAAATTCAAAAGTTATAATTAGAATTAAAATTAGAATTAGAATTAGAAATAGAATTAGAAATTATTCAGGTTACAATAAAATTGTCGACGATTACAAATCGTCATTATGATTAGATTTAAATTGTTATCGATTATAATTAAATGGATTAGAGTTAGTATTAGAATTAGAATTAGAATTAGAATTAGTGTCTTCGAATTGGAGTCAGTGTAAAAGATACTTAGGACTTACTGTCGTTATTAGAATTACGTTTAGACGATCAGAATTAGATGAATTAGAGTCAGAATTAGAGTTAGAGTTAGAGTTAGAATTAGAATTAGAAAGATCAAATTAGAATCAGAATTGGAGTCAGTGTAAAAGATACTTAAGACTTACTGTCGTTATTAGAATTACGTTTAGACGATCAGAATTAGATGAATTAGAGTCAGAATTAGAGTTAGAGTTAGAGTTAGAATTAGAATTAGAAAGATAAAATTAGAATCAGAATAACAATTGAATATCTAAGATTATAATCGGAATTAGAATTAGAGTTAGAGGATTACGGTCAGAATTAGATAAATTAGAATCAAAATTAGGGTTAGAATTAGAAAATTTCGAATTAGAATCAGAGTAAAATGTTTCAAGGTTACAACTGGAATTAAAGTTAGAGTGTTACTATCTATTAGAATTAGATGAATTAGAGTTAAAATTAAAATTAGAATTAGAATTAGAATTAGAATTAGAATTAGAATTAGAATTATAAAATTTCCAGTTAGATATACAATAAAAAATATTTACAATTACAACCGAATATTAGATATTATTAGAATTAGAGTTAGATTGTTAAAAGATTACGATTAGAATTAGATGAATTAGTCAGAATCGGAGTTAGAGTTAGAAATCAAACCCTTAAAGATTAGAATTAATATCCGATTTAAAGACTCGTGTTAGAAATAAATCGTTAGAGTTACAAAGTTAGAATTAAAGTTTGATTTTGTATTAGATAATTAGAGTTAGAGTTAGAGATAAAATTAAACCCAAAGATAATGAGTCAGAATTAACAATTATAATTAGAATTAGGGTTAGTATTAGAATTAGAATTAGTTGGAGATTAGAGTTAGAGTATCATATCTAATTATAGCTAAAAAGTTAGAATTAACGCTAAAAAGTTAGAATTAATTTATTAAAATTGTATCAAATATGGACGCCATTTTGAAATAGACTTTCATTTTCTTTGAAATTTTATATAAAATATTGCATTATAACATCTTACAACAAAATTTCTGCAAACTTTTATTGAAAATCGTTTCGGCTATTTTGTATATTATTAATAAAAAAAAAAAAAAAAAGCAACTTTTCCATACAAAATGGAGGACATTTGAAAAAATGATCCTTGAATTTTTTTTTTTTTTTGAAACATCGCGTTTTCCTAAAATCTTTCGTTTCAAATTTTCCTTTGTATCATAAAATCAGTTCGGTTATTCGGTTGATTTTTTAATTAAAGAGAAAAAGAAGGAGAAGAAGAAAAAGGAGAGAAAAAAGTTCATTGAAGAAAATGTACGTCGTACGCCATTTTGAAACAATCATAATTAACCGTTTAAGAAGGGAAAAGAAAAAAAAAAAAAGAAAGAAGAAGACAAAGAAAAAGGAGATAATACGTATATATATATGCGAATAGGAAAATTTTTCAATGAAATTCCAATGAAATTTTACTATCTATGCCGTAACCGCATGTAATTTTGATATTAATTTTAATTCCACTTGTGGACGAACTCGAGCGAAATGGCGCCTGCGTATTGGCCGAGCTATGTGAGAAAATGTCAAGGATTCCTTCCTGTTCGTCACGAAACGCCTTTTTCTCGATACGAACTGCCACGAACGGTGTCTCGGAGACATAAAAAGGGAGCCACGAATACCGATCGTTCCTTGCGGTTCGTGCCTTGATCGGCAAAAAGGTGAGGCGTGGAAAAAAAGAGAGAGAGAGAGAGAGAGAGAGAGAGACAGAAAATAAAGAGACGGAGCATCATCGAGACTCTCGTATTTCTTATGTGTATGTGTAAATACCATCGAAAAGAAGAAAAAGAGAGAAAAAAAGAAAGGGAGAGAGAGAGAGAGAGAGAGAGAGAGGGAGAGAGAGACAAAAAAAAAGAAATAATAATTTATGTTCGTCAATCGTAAAAATTTCTTGCAATTTTTATTATCGAGAAAGTACAGTATGGGTCAAAAGTTACTCGATGAATTAAAATGCTTTACTGTGTGTATCGATCAAAGTCACTAGGGTGGACCAAAGTCATCGAAAATCACTGATGGGGGCGGGGGGAGAGGGTGGATAAAAAAATCACTAGCGGATGAGTAAAAAAGAATCACTAGGGATGGGTCGACAATCATTCGCTAGGGGAAAGTTATTATGACGGGCTTAAAAAAAAAGTTACTAGAATCTTTAAAAGAGTTACTAAGTTCTTAAGTGTTTTTAAAAATCGATAATCCCTTGAATGAAACTCTTTGATTTTTAATCCTTTCGAATGATTAATTTTAACACGATCAAAATTGTTGTTTTAAAATCTGATATAATAAAAAAAAAAAAAATATCAATCTAAATCCATTTAGAAATGGATTAATTTTAATATCAATTATATTTACATCGCGATTTTTGGTATCGATCTAGAAATCATTTTGTCTCGTTCTCATGTATTCGTAATAATTGAAAGATATTTATTACAAATCGAATATTAAATCGATTATAAATCACAATTTGATAAAATTGAACTTCGTTCGAGTAACTTCTCAGTGATTCTCATTATCGTCAATAATAAATTCGTAATTTCAAAACTTAACGCAATTGTATATTTTACTCGAATAACTCCTCAGTTATTTTCATTATCGTGAAAAATAAATTCAAAATTTTAAACGAAACGAAATTGAATTCACTCGAAGAAATCTACTTGGTGATTCTCATTACCGTGAGAAAAAGAGGGGGAAAAAAAAAAGAAAAGGAAAAAAGAAAGAAAAGAAAAAATAGAAATTCAAAATTTTTAAACGAAACGAAATTGAATTCGCTCGAAATAAGTCCTACGGTGATTTTCATTATCGTCAAAAGATAAATTAAAAATTTTAAACGAAACGAAATTGAATTTAATCGAAGTAGTACCCTTAGTGTTTCTCATTATCGTGCGAAAATCAAAATTCAATATCGTAAAATTTTTCAAAACGAAACGAAATTAATGAATCATATTCGTAAAAATCCTCGGTGCTTGTTTGTTCGTTTGTTTGTTTGTTTATTTTTTTTTTTTTAATTATTATTATCATCGTCGATAAAAAGTTCAAAATTTTTAAACAAAAAGGAAATTTAACTTGCACGAATAAATGAAGATCAAGTATTTTTAAAACTAAATGAAATTGAATCTCCGTTCGAACAAAAGTCCCCTCCCCCTCCCTCCCTCCCCCCCACCCAGTGCTTCTCATTATAGTCGAAAGAAAAAAAGAAATCTTTTCGAAATCTTTGAGAGAAATCTTTTAAGAGCAAAATGTAAAAGTAATTAATTGAATATCGCGACGCTGATAGCGTCGCTGATAAAAGCTCCCAGTGGTTCTCATTGTCGTAAAATCAAAAAAAAAAAAAAAAAAAAAAAGATAAAAAATACAAAACAAAAATGAAATTCGTAAAATCGCTGATGAGAAAAAATTCTACTCACTTGAAGAAGTCTTCCCTGCAGAAAAGTTTTGCTTCCCTGGAGTAACACTTGTCCTGTAACGCGGATCCGCAATCGAAACAGCGAACACACTGGGCATGCCATACTCGATCCAAAACGTTGAACATGTACTGATCCAGTATCGGTTTCTCGCATCCTGCACATGACAGGAGCATCGCCAGACCTCGTCTTCCTGCTTCTCAAAAGAAAATTCATACGTTATGTCATTGAACGTGTCCCACATTATCTTTCTCTCTCTCTCTCTCTCTCTCTCCCTCTTTTTCTATTTTCTTTTATTACGATTAAAAGAAAGGAAAAATTTTGATCCAACATGGCAGATATCACATTGAAATTTAATCTCCATTATTCTTCCATTTTGTATTTTCTATTTGTATATGTACACGAATTACAAGTGTAATAACAAGTTCTTATACTTTTTCTTTTTTCATTTCTTTCTTTCTTTTTTGTTTTTTTTCGTTTTTTTTTTTTTACTTTTCCCTTGTTTCTCGAATAAGAAAAAAAGAAAATTCTACGAATCAAAAAAAAAAATAAAAAAAACATCACAATGGTCGATTCGAATTTTATTTGATTTTTTTTTCTTTTTTTTTTTCTTTTTTTTTGATAAACAAAATTTTGCTCATATACATATTTTCTAAATTATATAATAATAAATAATAAATATATATATATAATAATAATATACAATAATAAATAATATGTATATATATATATATATATATATATATATAAATTATATAAGAAATAAAAGAGAAGAAAGGAATGAAAAATTTGACTGTCAAAAAAATTCAAAATGGCCTGTTCCGAAACGAATAATTACGATGCAAAAAGAAAAAAAAAACATATTCCCAACACTATTAAACAATTTATTTTTTCCGTTCAAACTGTTTTGTGAATTCTTATCGATAATTGAAAAAACAAAACAAAGAGAAAAGCAAACAAGAAAGAAAAAAGAAAGAAGAAAATCTTAAAAGCCGATCCGAATTGAACAATTATCAAAAAAAAAAAAAAAGAAAAAGAAAAAAAAAAGAAAAAGAAAAACCAAAAAGAAAATAGAAAAAACCTAATCTATTTCCAATGCTTTTAAATAATTAATTTTTTCACGTATGGCCCTTAAACCATTTAAAATTCTTATCGATCGTGAAAGAAAAAAAAAAAAAAAAAAAAAGAAAAAAAGAAAAGAAAATCAAAACGGCCGAATCGAATATAATTATCATATCATTTAAATATATTCAATACTTGGAAAACGCCTAAATATATCTCATAATTTTCTATGTTAATACATATACATATATATATATATATATATATATAATTAAAATATCATTTACATATAGAAATAACCTCAAAAAAGTAGTTTTCGTAAAATTTTCGAATCGAGTTATCACGTTGAAAATTTTCCAACGATTATTTATTCCATCAATAAATATTCGAGTTAAAACAAACTCTACGAATATCAAAAGATATTTATACACATATACACGTGCGCGCATACGCATACAGACATATATTTATATCAACGCATGCATACACACACATACACATATATTACCTATGTAACTATATATATATATATTTTATATATATATATATATATATATATATATATATCCTTTTCCATTTCAAGTCAATGAACGAGGAAAAACAAATAATGCTTTCAAACGGACGTCTCTTGCTTTCTATAATGCATTTTATCTATATATTTAGTACGAGGAATTATCGATTAGTTTCAAACATTAATACCGTTCGTTTGAATTATGTATACCTATATATAAATATATATGTATATATATATATATATATATATATATATATAATATATGTATAATATATCTGTGTATGTATATAATGTATGTGTGCCAAAGTGATATCTATATGTAAAACATATGATACATCATACTCGATTATGTTTACGATCGGAGAAACGTCATTTCTATCGTTTCGATTTTTCTACGTACTTTTATACCTTTTTGTCTTTATTCCTTTTTTTTCGTCCTTTTCTCTTTTTTGCACTAGGAATTTTTTTTTTTTTTTTTTTTTTTTTTATGCACTAGATAATAAAATGAAAGACATGGCGGATCTGTCGTATTTCTTTTTCTTTTTCGTTTATTTTCTTTTTTCTTTTCTTTTTTTCTTTTTTTTTTTTTTTTGTTACACTAGATTACGTTTGCAAATTAGAAGACACGTGAGCCGCGTGGTGGGGATTTTTTTATTTTTCTTAGTAATTTTTTTTTTTTTTTCCTTTTTCTTTCCTTCACTTTCCTTTTCTTTTCCAATAAAACGAAAAGAATTTCCGAAAGTGAATTTTTCCTTTGCGCGCCCACGAATTTCTTTTTTTCATTTTTTCTACGCTCGATTAGATTTTAACTTTATTAGAGACACGCGAATAGATTTGAATTTTTATCTAGTTATTTTTTTTTCTTTTTTGGAAGTAACTACAATAATCTGAAATTAAAAAAATAAGAAAAAAAGAAAATATATATATATATATATATAAAAATGTATACTTGAATGTTTTATGTTTACGATTGGAAACGCATGAATTCGTTTAATTTCTTATTTAGTAATTTCTTTCGTTTGTTCGTATTGTATATAAAAGTAACTAGAATAAAGGAAAAAAAAAAGAAAAAAAAAATAAATAAAATGTCATCTGTAAATCAGTCATATATACTTTTCTACTCGATTAGGTTTACGATGTCAAGGATAATGCATAAATAAAAAAATTTTGAATTGTTATAATAATTTCTTTGGACTGAATAAAAGTAACTAGATTAAGTGAAAGAAGAAAAAGAAAAAAGAAAAAAAAAAGAAATATATATATATATATATATGCCATACACAATCGAACAATTTATCGATATTGATAATATCGATTTATCTAATTTAAATTCCTTATTATACTCGATTATTTTTCTCTCTTATCTTCATTTATACTTTTTAGAAAAATATAACTAGAATAAAGTGGAGTAAATAAAATTACACCTGTCGCTCGATGCGTCTAGTTTAATTTTTTTTTTTTCTTTATGTACATATGTATATATATATATATATATATATATATATATATATATATTTATGTATATATATACTTAATTAATATGCATTAGAGAACGCATAACTTATAAGTAAATAAATTGCTCAGATAAGTGTGATCTTTTTTTTTTGTAACCTAATCAATTTATATCAATTAAATCGTTGAACCATTTCAATTTAAATCAATTAATTCGTTTGAATCATTTGCATCGAATTATTAGAATTATTGGGATTGCTTTGGATATTTTGATTTAGTGATTCCTTTTTTTTTTCTTTTTCTTTTTTTTTTTTTTTTAATTATTAATAAAAAAAAAAGAACAAACGAAACAAAAGAATAAATTAAAACAACTATCATTAATTATTCGTCAAATTAGAATTAATTGGATTCTTTTGATGGTGTATATTTATTTAAAAAAAATAAAAAATAAAAAATAAAAACAAAATAAAAAATAAAAAACAAAATAAAATAAAATAATATAAAATAATCGTCTCAATCATTTTATCAATTAACGTTATTAATCATTTAATATTATTAACATAGATAATGATAATTTGTCCACATTTATTAATTCTTAATCTCTTTTTTCGATCAATGTTATCATAATTAAATTAATTAGATCTCCGTTTGATAGTGTCTATCTAATTGAGAAAAAAAAAAAAAAAAAAAAAGAAGAAAAGAAAAAAAAGAAGAAGAAAGAAAAATAGAAAAGAAAAGAAAAGAAGAAGAAAAAAAAAGGAATAATAAAAAAAAAAAAAAAGGAAAAAGAAAGAAAAGAAAGAGAAATGGTATTAAATCACTTAAATCACTTTAATCATTTAAAGTTACCAACACCGGAAAGAAATTATTCGGAAAGAATAAACACTTCGTCGTAACACTATAATTACCACGATCCTAATCTAATCACGACCATAAAAAGCATCTGTCTTTGGTAGTCACGTGTTATAATCGTGATCTTTCGATAAGGAAGAAAGAAAAAGGAAAAAAAAAGGAAAAAAAAAAGAAAATAATAATAATAACAAAAGAGGAGGAAAAAAAAAAAATTGTGAGGAAAAAGATAAAACGACAAATAGAATTACTTATAAACGAGATGAACGCTTATTAATTATTATTAGAATTAAAAAATTGATGGATATAATGCAAATTCTAAAGTGATATCTAATTTGTACTAATCTAATTTAAAGGAATCATAGAACTTTTTAATGATATTAATTCTTGACAATTTTCTTTGACGATTATTTTGTATTTTTTAATAATTTTTTTTCCTCCCATTTCTCGTTGTTTTTTTTTTTTTTTTTTTTTTTTTTTTTTTGAAAATTCGTTCATCATTTTAAACAAAAAAATTGTTCAGACAGAGAGAGAGAGAGAGAGAGAATAAATAAACAAATGTATTTATTTCTAATGTCAGAATAGAATGTTTAGTAATTTTTTAAAGATATTTTTTGACATAAATGAAGCAACATTTTCAATAAAATCAATAATTAATATTTATTGTTATGATAAACGAAAAAAAAAAGAAATTGTTTCAAATAAAAAGAGAGTGAGAGAGAGAGAGAAAGAGTAAATAAATAAATGTATTTAATTCTAATATCATAATAGAATGATTAGAAATATTTTAAGAATATTTTTTTTTTTTGAACAAATCTAATAACATCCTCTTATTATGAACAAATCCAATATTTATTATTATGATAAATAAATAAATAAATAATGGAGAAAAAAAAAAGGGAATAATATATAAAGAGAATTAACAAATATGTTTATTTCTAATGTCGGCATAAAATGTTTAGAAATTTCTTAGAAAATTATTTACTTATTCTATTCCTTTTTTTCTTACTCCCTTTTTTTTTCTTTTTTTTTTTAATTTTTTTTTTGAAAAATTCGAATTTCATCACTGTACACAATCTGTACATCGTTATAATGAAAAAAAGAAAGAATTAATTCTGAAAGAGAGAAAGAGAGAGAGAGAGAGAGAGAGAGAGATTAATTAATAAATAAATTAATCAATTTATTTCTAAAATTTCAAAAATTCCAAAATTTCAAAATCCCACATTCCTTCCTTGTCTTTCCTATTTCCCTTTTTTGTCCATCCCATTTCTTATTCCTTCCTCTAATATTTTTTATTTACTTCCATCCGTTCGTTA